ATTACATTTTTTTGATGGCTGAGTAATATTCCATTGTATATATAATATATATATTATATATATATATGTGTGTGTGTGTGTATATATATATATATATATATATGTCATCTTCCTTATCCATTCATCTGTCGATGAACATGTGGGCTCTTTCCATAGTTTGGCTATTGTGGACATTGCTATAAACATCAGGGTGCTATACATCGGGGTGCAGATGCCCCTTTGGATCACTACATTTGTATCTTTAGTGTAGATACCTAGTAGTGCAGTTGCTGGGTCATAGCTCTGTTTTCAAGTTTTTGAGGAACCTCCATACTGTTTTCCAGAGTGGCTGCACCAGCTTGCATTCCCACCAACAGTGTAGGAGGGTTCCCCTTTCTCCGCATCCCCGCCAACATCTGTCATTTCCTGACTTGTTAATTTTAGCCCTTCTGACTGGTGTGAGATGGTATCTCATTGTGGTTTTTTCTTTTTTTTTTAAAGATTTTATTTATTTATTTGACAGAGAGAGACACAGCGAGAGAGGGAACACAAGCAGGGGGAGTGGGAGAGGGAGAAGTAGGCTCCCCGCAGAGCAGGGAGCCCGATGCGGGACTCGATCCCAGGACCCTGGGATCATGACCTGAGCTGAAGGCAGTCGCTTAACCAACTGAGCCACCCAGGCGCCCTCATTGTGGTTTTGATTTGGATTTCCCTGATGCCGAGTGATGTTGAGCATTTTTTCATGTGTCTGTTGGACATTTGTATGTCTTCTTTGGAGAAATGTCTGTTCATGTCTTCTGCCCATTTCTTGATTGGATTATTTGTTCTTTGGGCTTTAAGTTTGGTAGGTTCTTTATAGATTTTGGATACTAGCCCTTCATCTGATACGTCATTTGCAAGTATCTTACCCCCATTCAGTAGGTTGTCTCTTGGTTTTGTTGACTGTTTCCTTTGCTGTGCAAAAACTTTTTATCCTGATGAAGTCTCAATAGTTCATTTTTGCCTTTGGAGATGTGTCTAGGAAGAAGTTGCTGCGGCCGAGGTCACAAAGGTTGCTGCCTGTGTTCTCCTCTAGGATTTTGATGGGTTCCTGTCTCACATTTAGGTCTTTCATGCATTTTAAGTCTATTTTTATGTGTGGTATAAGGAAATGGTCCAGTTTAATTCTTCTGCATGTGGCTGTCCAATTTTCCCAACACCATTTGTTGAAGAGACTTTTTTCCATTGGATATTCTTTCCTGCTTTGTCAAAGATTAGTTGACCGTAGAGTTGAGGGTCCATTTCTGGGCTCTATTCTGTTCCATTGATCTATGTGCCTGTTTTTGTGCCAGTACCATACTGTCTTGATGATGACAGCTTTGTAGTAGAACTTGAAGTCCGGAATTGTGGTACCTCCAGCTTTGCTTTTCTTTTTCAACATTCCTTTAGCTATTTGGGGTCTTTTTTGGTTCCATACAAATCTTAGAATTTTTTGTTCTAGCTCTGTGAAAAAAGTTGATGGTATTTTGATAAGGATTGCATTGAATGTTAAGATTGCTCTAGGTAGCATAGACATTTTAACAATATTTGTTCTTCCAATCCATGAGCATGGAACGTTTTTCCAGTTCTTTGTGTCTTCCTCAATTTCTTTCATGAGTGTTCTATAGTTTTCTGAGTACAGATCCTTTGCCTAAACCTGGTTAGGTTTATTCCTAGGTATCTTATACTTTTGGGTGCAGTTGTAAGTGGGATTGACTCTTCAATTTCTCTTTCTTCTGTCTCATAATTAGTGTATAGAAATGCAACTCATTTCTGTGCATGGATTTTATATCGGGAAGGGCATGTATCTGATTTGGTTGGAACATGGAGACATTTGAAGAAAATGATAAGGTATGGAGGTGGACAAAGAGGCAAGGAGTAGATCCGGAAGGGCCTTGTATTTGGCTTACTGAGGAGTTACAGAAGGATATAAGCAGGGGAGGGACTTCAGATGACAATAATAGCAATAGGCAGCTATGTGCCAGGTGCTGTGCTAAGTGTCCTATTCATTATCTCATTGAATCTGCACTCTACGAAGGAGGTGCTGTTTACTCCCATTTTACAGATGAGGAAATTGAGTCTTAGAGGTTAAGTCATTTGCCCAAAAGTTGCCCAACTAGAAAGTGACAGAGCCAAGATTTCAGCTCAGGTCTGTCTGATTCTTGATCCCATTGGTATTGATCAGAGGAATAAAAAGGAGGCAGAAACAAGATTTTGTGGCCTGCCTAGTGGGGAAGGTAGGAAGTTACGGTTGGGGTGGGGGTGAGGTTTCTAGCCTGGGTGGCCAGTGTTGGCTTGTGATATTTTCAGTCAGGATATAGGGGCATGTGTTAGCTAGCTTTAAGGGGGTGCTCATGAGCTGAGTTTGGATATACAGAATTTGTGGTACCTATGCATCCTCCTGGTGGAACTGCCCTGGAACTGTCTGGAAACGTGGGCCTAGAGCTTCAGGGGGTTAGAAATGGAGACAGAGCACGTGGTAATTGCAGCTCTGGGGGAGGAGAGGAAGTGACACCCAGAGAGCAGAGCATGCACTGAGAGGAGAAGGAAGGGCTAGTTCAGAAGCCTTTGAGAAATGTCAGCAGTTAAGGAGAAGGGTGAAGAGGCTCCAGGGCTGGACTTGGGGCCTGGGGGCCCAGCACCACTAAGCCAGTATGCCTCGGCTTTGCCTCTCCTCAGAACTGCAGCTTGCCAAGCTCTCCTGGGAGGGGCTGGGCCCCTGCGTCCTGGAGATGGAGAGGGTGTGGACAGCCATGGTGTGTGTCTGAATCACCCCCTCTCTCCGTTGGCCCCAGGCCAGCCTCCTCCCCAGACCAGTGTGATGTCAGACCTGGGCTGACCTGAAGGTGTGGGGTTGCCTGGTGCAGTTCCCTCTGGGATGAGGTCCCAAAGGGAGCCAGCCTGGCTTTGGTCCAGAAGCTTGGGGCCTACGTACAGAGGGGTGAGTTGAGGCTGACTGGGCTTGGTGGGGCTGGCATGTGGAAGCAAGATAATCCTCTGACTGGGAGAGGAACTATAAGTCCCCCTCCTCTTCCCCAATATATTGTTTTCCCTCCAGGTCTTAAGAAGGAGGGCAGGGGTGGGAGAGGGCTGGCTTGGAGGTGAGGTTGGCATATATTCCCATGAATACGGTAGATTGTTTTGGAAAAATCTCTTGGCCGGAAATTACATGTCATGTCTGCTCCTCAGTGTGGATTTGTCACTTCACTGATGCTGCTGGAGAGGCTGGGGGAAGGGAGTGGACAGCAGAGGCAAGCTGGTTCCTGGCCACTCCCAGCTCCCTTTAGAGATAAGAGGGCAGGTTATAGACTGGAGGGGTATACATGTAGGGTGGATTCCCCAAATCCTAGAGGCAGTTTGGATCATGCGGATATCTTATAGCAGAATGCCATTAGGAAGCAGGGGAGTTATGGATGGAGGAGGTAAGGAGAAAGCAGGAAGGAGGAATGATTTGGATCAGATCCTTCATCCAGCGATGGGCCTGGCATTTTCAGCCTTTTTTTCTCTAACTTTGGGTCAGTACAGCCTCCTGACTTTGGGTTCTTACAGCCTCCCACAAACCTAGTTTCTGTTAGCGCTGCGGTAAGATGCCCAGGAACTTCTGCCTGGAATAGATCCCCTGCCTGGCTGGGTCATCCCCCACCCCAGCATGCTTCAAGGCAGAGAAGGAGCTTGTGAGGAGAGTGAGCCTTGTAGGAACTCATCTAGTATCCTTCTGGGGTCTCTTTCCTCAGTTTTGAGGTTGAGTTTGTTGGGGGTGGGCGGAAGGTGGGAGGCAGGTATCTCAGCATCTCCCTCCTCCTCTGCCCCAACCCCGGAAGGGGAGGGTTCCCTGAGCTCAGCCCTAAATACCTGGTACTAAGGAGTCAGTGGATGCTTCAGATGCCAGCAGAATGAGAGGGTATGCGTGGGGCACCTTGGGGCCCTCAGGGCTGGCGGGGGAGAGGAGGAGCCTCTGCAGTGGGACTTCCTCTGCTAGCACTGACCTCACCCCAGTGCTGGGTGGCAGAGCCCTGTGTGGGCACGTGTTGGAGCACCTTCTCCCACGGGGAGTGTGGGCACTCGAGGCACCCTTCTGAGGCCAGAGGTCAGCCCCAGCCCTGTGCCCTGCCCTGAGCTCCCAGGCACACAGCCTGTGCAGTCTTGGGGGGGGTCGGGGGGGGCAGGCAGGGAGATGTCAAGGCCGGGCTGGGAGGAGGCGTGGGGCTGGGGCGGGCTGTGGTCTCGCTCCGGGTGCTGGAGGCGTGGCTTCCGTGGCTTCCATGGCTGGGCAGGTTCGCGGGCGCTGAGGGAGTGGAGTGCGGAGTGGAGCGGCAGGGAGCCCGGCAGGTGGGCGCATGCTTGGAGCCTGGTGGTGTGGAAGCCGGGCAGGTGGAGGGATAGGCATCAGGCCCCAAGGAGGGGAGGGGTCTCAGGTCAAGTCAGGATGGGGCTCCTCTTATGTGAGCTTCTTGGATGGACCTCCTTATGGAATAGGGGCCTCCTTTATGAATCCCCAGGACCTAATTGGTGGCGGTGGAGCTCTGGGGTCCTGGAGGTGGCCCAGGGGCTGAGGGGAGCTGTGGCCCTGCGGTCATTGGCGGTGGGGCCGTGCTGCGGCACCTGGCTCTCTCCGGGGGTCAGCCGGTGGTGGTGGTGGTGCTGCGGAGAGGCGGCGGGAGGCGGCGGCTCCTTGGAACGGAGGCTGGGGACCGGGTTGGGGGAGGGGCCGGCCGCGGGCCCGGCGCAGGAGACCGCAGGAGACCGCGACCATCCGGGCTGGGCTGGGGCTCTGGCCGGCCAGCCAGTGGTGGATGAGAGGCTGTGGGCGGGTGCGCGGGGGGGCCGTGGACCGGCCTCCCCCGTTGAGGCGCCCCTCCTTCTGGAGGATGCTGGAGGCCCGGCCCCTCAGGACGCAGGGCAGTGACGCTGCCGCTGCCGGTACCGCCGGAGGGGCGGGGGCTGCGGGAGGGCTCTGCTCCCCTCCCTGGCACGAACGCCGGGAGTTTGGGTGCCATGGGGGAGAGATCTGCATATCAGCGCCTGGCTCGGGGTGAGGAGGGACAGCAGGTAATGGGAGAAGCCTGGGGGTTAGCCAGGTACCCGGGTCCTAGACCCCATCATCTGCCAATGAGCTGAGGGCCCAGCCCTGCTTCGCAGCAGCCTCTCAGGAGTGAGGGGTGTCTGTGCTTCTGGGCCCCAGGACAGATCCTGGGGGGGCTGAGAGGCTGGGTGAAGAGGTATTTGTGTGTGTGTGCGATGGGTGAGGGGCAAGTCAGTGGTGGTGAATTACTGATGCTGCCACCTGCTTCAGTGTCTCTGGGTTCTCTGGGACCCAGTTAAATGGCCTTTTGGGCTTTTCTTCAACTCTCCGTGGGAGCCCCCAGGAGCAATGCCTGCCAGGATTTGGGTGTAGTCTTTTATGGGCACTGAGTCCTTGTTCCCTGGACATTACTGCTTACTTTCCGAATATGCATATCAAGCTAAATGTCCTTGTTTGCTTTAGAAAAGATGATCACTGTATTTATGGGGCCGCTTCCCTTCTTGGAGATCAAGCACTTTCTCTCTTGGTCGGCAGAGGGCGGTAGCTGACAGGACAAAGGGGGACAGAATAGGTGGAGGGTGTTTTCCAGGGCTAGGAGAAGGGGTCCAAGAACTGGCCTGAGCTCTGACCTCTGGCCATGCTTTGCTTTTCCGCACAGCCTTTTCCAGCTGGATTGCTGAACAAGCTGCTGAGGCTTGTTCTTACCCGACATCTAAGGGAAGAGTTAGGCGTGGGGTTCTGATAGATTTGGGGCACATCTTTTGGGGGTAGCTAGAATTTTTATTTTGGCCATTCTGATCCAGCAGTCCCTATCTTACAGTAGAGGGAGTAATTTTCTTAAATTGTTCCCTAAAGTCAGGTCTCCGGGGCTCCTTCAGAGTGGTGCCTGGTGGGAAGTAGGCAGTAGGCTTCTCTGAGCCATGGGCATTGTCTGCCAGGTTTTGAGAAAAGTCATTTCCAGTGTGACCTCATCCTGACTTCATCTTGTCCATTAGCTCTGACCCCAGCCTCAGACTGGTGATTCACTGGACCAAGGGGAGGCTGTACCTGGCTGGCTCCACACGCTTTGGGTGGTGGGTGACACAGCGCTGGGTAAGAGGGACTGAGTGCTGGGAGTGCCCACCAATACCCACACCCCCTACCTACCTTCTTGTCCCCCCCCCCCCTTTTCCCCCCCCCGCCATGGGGTCAGAGCAGGAAATGGCTGACCTTTCAGGTAACCTTCCTGCGAGGAAGGTCGAGTACTAAGAGAGGTCTTGGAAAGAGAGCCTAAGATGCTAACTCCCCAAAACTGTCACCCAGCTGCCTGCCCCATCAGCCGGCTGGGGTTCCCAGAGCCAGTAGCCAGCTGGATAGGGACAAGAGAGCAGTGTACAAGAAGTGGGCTCCCTGGGCATGGCTGCTGGGGGGGGGGTTGCTGAGGGAGACTGCGAGGACTTCCTGCAGCTGTCAGGTGTGTCTGGGGGCTGTAGTGAGGGGAGTGTAAGGGCAGCTGGCACTCTTGAGGGGGGGCAGAGGGATCATTTGTCAGCTGCAGGAACATGGGGGGCCTATGGGGGCTTGATGGAGTGTCTCCAGTTCCTTTTAGCTGAGGCTGTTGTCTGTGCGTGGAGGTGCTATACAAGAAACATCCTATAGTCTGGAATCCTTGCTCTGGGGTGGGGGCATCCCAGCAGGGTCTAGGGACATATTTGTTTATTTTGAGGGGGTTTTGGATCTTAGCCAGCTGGTCTGGGGGAGGAGGCACGCTGGATGTTGTGGGCAGTGCAAGGCAACCCCAGGGGAGGGGGTGGAGATTCCTCACCCCCACAGCCCCCCCTCGCTCTTGGCTGGACTGCCCCACTCTGGCAGGCTGCCGGCCTCCTATTTCCGTCGGGCACCAGGGTAACAGGGCCACATTAGGGCCTGAGCCAGCAGACGCCCAGCCAAGGCTTGGACTTGGTGATGGGGGAGGGTCTCTGAAGGGTCTGCCTACAGGGCCCAGGAATGACTGTCCGGGGCCCAAGCCCCCAACTCAGGCGGTGTTCTAGCCCCCACAGCCCCAGACAAGCCCATATGGGAGCCTGTAGCCCCTCTTTGTGCATTACTGCTTGATTCACATAACCCCCACCCTAAAATCCCAGGAGTTGTCTGCAACTATGGGGGCTGGGGTGGAAGCCAGAGACAGGGGGCCTTGTGTATGGGGAGGCAGGGGGGCCAGCGCGGGTGGCTGGGAGGAAGAGTCCCCCCATTCCCGCCACCCTCTTGGCAGTGATTCAGAAAGGTCCTTTTTCAGCCAGTGTCAGAGCTGCTCAGCTGGGGAGAGAGGGAGGAGGGAGGGAGGGAGGGCGGTCAGGCGGGGGAGCCCGGGAGTAGGGCTGAGCTGTGACCACTGCACTGAAGAGAAGTCAGAGAAACAGGACAGAGGATCTGGGCTGCAGCCGGGAAAAGAGCTAACCCGCTCCTGCCAGACTAGCCAGCTGTGGAAACAGCTGTGCAGCCGAGAAAGGGGGCCCACCCTGTTCTTTCTGCCCCATTTCCCACCCCTGGTGTGGGATTTGGGGGACTCCTGGGCCAGACCTGTGGTCAGCTTCCATCCTGGGCAGAACCTTGAATTCAGGAGCTAAAGCCCCTGCTCCTCCTACTTCTTGGGCCAGAGCCCCAGTGACCTGGTCAGGGGGTCCAGCTCCGTGGAGATGCCGGCGGCTCGTCGCTTCCCTGGCCTAGAGCTCTCCTTCCCTCTCCTGGCCAGACTACGGCGACGCCTATACACAGTGAGTGGGGGCTGGGGGTGTGGGTAGGACTGACCGGGGACTGGGTCAGCACCCCCCCCTCCAGCCCCCCAGAGCCAGCAGTTCACTGAGGGGCAGAGTACAGGACTGGCAATGGCTGAGGGCTTGATAGGGGTTCTGGGCTCGGGGCCTCTCCCCTCGGCTGCTGCATTCTGGTTGGTGAGTGTGTTAGGAGAATGTACGCAGGAAGTGTGCACGCCAGGAGAGCCCCACGTCAGGCGTCAGACACAGGTGTGGGACTGCGGGTGTGCCGGGGGCCAGGCACACCCACAACTGGAGAGTGTGAGCAGGGTTGGGGAGAAGCCGGGGCAGTACCCTCCCTGTGCTCCACAGACAAAGAAACTTGCTGTGGAAGGGGCAGTTAGCAGAGGGGAGGGGGCTTGTCCTGGCTCACCCGGGGCCAGGCGGTAGAGACAAGACTGAGACCCTGATTGCTTGCTTCTCACTGGGATCCCGGTGTTCTTCCAGTTCCCTGCACACCCCTCCGCAGAGCAAGCCTGTTCCTGGGGCTGGAGAGCGGGGAGGGGAGTGTCCAGCTGAGCAGGGAGATCTGTTCGCTGTTGTCTTGGGGAAAAGAAACAGGCCAGACTGTGCTTTCTGAGCAGCTTCAGGGGAAGGGCTCTGTGTCTCCCCCAGTCCTGACCACCCGGTGCATGGCTTTGAGCTGCTCTGAGGAGCCGCTGCCTCCAGAGCAGGGTGGGAGTGGGGAGCCTGGAGCCCTGAGACTTGGAGACTGGTCAAGAAGGGGAGGGGGTCTGTGGACTGCTTTTGCCCCACTGGCAGGCACATCTTAGGGCATGCAGGGGGTGCGGTCTCTTTGCCTTAGAGACAGGGCCGTGATGGTGGAAGTCCTGGCCGGCCCTGCATGACCAGGCTGCCGAGAGCTCCGGCCTGGGTCGGTGATTTTCACAGTGCGCCCTTGGGGCCGCCTTCTGGAAAGCAGCAGTGTCCTGCCCTCTTATGTCCACACTGCTTTGTGCGGAACAGATAGTTTTGTTGAGGATAAGTGAGTTAATACAGCCAGATGCTTAGAACTATGCCTGGCGTATAGTAAGTATCAAGTGTTAGTGTTATTTTTATTGTTCTTCTTAAATAAAATTAATAGAAATATGTCCTTTTTACCGTGTGTGTGTATAGTCAGTCAACATGATGTCACCTATAGTATGAAGGGGAAATGAAAGGAAAGTGAGGATAACATTTCAGGTATTCTGATATGTCAGGACGTTCTGACATGAAGTAGTCAGTGCGGAGCCCTCCAGCAGAACCACCGTGGAGGCAGCGCCTGCAAGTGCTGACTGACAGGGGAGTTTGGAAATCATAAAGGTGGGTTGCCTTCCGTGACGTTTTTCGGACTAGCAAACAACTTTTGGTAAGTTCTGAACAAAACAAAGGCCAGTTTTCCCTCAGTGTACGTATTAGTTCCACTCTAGGAGGATTCACTGTGTATCTAGACTGCAAAATACTTTTTTGTTCATATGTAAGATGGAATTCAGTTCTAGGGTCAGGTGATTGTAAACCAGTTTTTCACCTGCATGAACTAAGTTGTGTGGGATTTGGGACAGTGGGCGAGATTGCTCTGTACATTACAGGATAACTTGTGATCTTGTCTCCCAGCCACTCACTAAATGCCACTCGAGGTCCCCCAACATGATGACAACCAAGAATGTCCCCTAGGGGGCCGTACAGCCCTCGTGAGAACCGTCTGGGTAAAGGGTCACAGCTTGAAATTTGGAAACCCCCCCTGTAGCCCAGCTGCCTTGGTGGAGGAGCCAGGGTTTGAACTGAGGGCCTCCCACTCCCGTGTGTCACTCTTTGTACTGTCCTGAGCTGCCTGGGAAGGTCTGAAGTCCTGGCACTGGCCGCCGGGAGCTGTCAGGGCAGGAGGCGCATGCTAGGCCTGAGCTGCAAGAGTCTGCTTCTCTGAGTGCGCACTGTGATCAGAGCTGGGGGCCGAGACCGCCTCTGACTTGTTGGGGGGGGCGTTGAGGGGTCGCTGGCCTCTTCCCTCTTGTGGGTCTTCTTTGGTGGGGGACTGAATGCGGGTCTGCCCTCAGCTCTGAGGTGTCTGACTTGGACAAGGATGGGTTCGGGTCCAGCGGGTCAGGCTGCTTCGTTTCAGGGGTGCCCCCGTGTCCTCTTTCTCTGGGCCGCAGAGAGTGTAGGTCAGAGGTCGCTCACTGGTGGCCCATTGGCTGATGATAGCCTGCACTTGTGTTTTGCTTGGCCAGCACAGAATGTGTGTGTGTGTGTGTGTGTGTATTTCAAACTTGAATTGGTTGACATAATTAAAAAAGTCAGGAGAATGTTAAGTGAAAACAAGGAACAGAATGGTGTGCTTGATGGGTGAATGTTTGTGTGGGGGGAAAAACAGTCTGGAAGGATATGGAGAAGTCCTTTATGGCAGCTGGCTCTGGGATGGGGGGCTAGGGGGCTCTGCAATAGGGCAGGGAATGAGACTTCATGGCTCCTGTGTGCCTTTTGAATATTTTATCATGTGCATATATTACCTTTTCAAAAAGAATTTTAATGGCGAGATTTCACATCTAGATTCAGATTTCCAGCATTTCTTGAAAAAATTGAAAGCTTTAATAACACAGGGCAGCGGTCTGCGGTGACAGCTGTCGAGGGAGGTAAGCAAGGCTGCCTCTTTGAGCCAGCATCTAAAAGCCCACCCCAGGGGCGCCTGGCTGGCTCAGTTGTTAAGCGTCTTTCTTGGGCTCAGGTCATGGGATCGAGCCCTGCATTGGGCTCCCTGCTCGGCGGGAAGCCTGCTTCTCCCTCTCCCTCTGCCTGCTGCTCCCCCTGCTTGTGTGTGCTCTCTCAATGAAATAAATAAATAAAATCTTTTAAAAAAAATAAAAGCCCACCCCAGCCTCTGCGCCCCTTTTGTCTTCCACTCGTGTGGTCCTGACGGCACTCGAGCGGTCTCCTGTGGGATGGTCTTTGGATCTGGGGGGAGAGGCTCTGGTGATGTCAGGTATTGGGTGGAACTTAGAGCTCATCTGGTCCACAGTGCTTTCTCTGGAGTCCATCAGGTCTGGGGAACCTATGGATGGGTCTCAAGGGACCCTGGACCACCACCCCCCAACTAAAAATATATATCTGTTTTAAGTAGGTGCCACACCCAGCATGGAGCCCAGTGTGGGGCTTGAACGCACAACCCTAAGATCAAGACCTGAGCTGAGATCAAGAGTTGGACACTTAACCAACTGAGCCACCCCGGCGCCCCTAAAAATGTTTTATTTTTAAGTGATATTTACACCCAGTGTGGGGCTCCAACTCACAACCCTGATCAAGAGTCACATGTTCTACGGACTGAGCCAGCCTGCTACTCCTCCCCAATTTTTTAATGCAAACTTTATGAGTAAGAATGTGTCTGTTTTCCTGGAGACACAGTCGGTAGTTTTTGTGGTTCTCAAAGGGTTTGTGGCTCTGAGAACAGAGAGGTTGATCTCCGGTCACTACAAAGTTTGGGCTTAAGACCCCGACGCCTGGGCTTGGGCTGTATTGCAACTGTCCCAGTTCCATCCTTGTTGCTGCTGGGAAGAGGGGCACAGGGGTACAGGGCATTCTGTACAGTTTTGGGGAGCAAAAAGGTGATTCGAGCCCTTCGTTGAAGCAGCGTAGTAGGATGTGGGTGAGCCCAGGGCACTCAGGGTGGGCTCGCCTGCTACCTCCCTGCACGCCTTGGTCCCTGAGCCGTTCTTCCCTCCCCACAGAGGCTGGGGGGCAGCAGCATGCAGCCGGAGGAGGGCACGGGCTGGCTGCTGGAGCTGCTGTCCGAGGTGCAGCTGCAACAGTACTTCCTGCGGCTCCGCGATGACCTCAACGTGACCCGCCTGTCCCACTTTGAGTATGTCAAGAATGAGGACCTGGAGAAGATTGGCATGGGCCGACCCGGTAGGTGGGGCCATTGGCCTTGCCGGTTGCTTCCCCACTGACCATTTACCTCCTCTGTCATTAAGACTGCCAACTGCATGGAAGAGCCCTCCCCCTTATTCCATCGGGTGGGAGGACGTGGCCTGCCCAGGAGCCCCCAAGGTGGGGTAGGGGGCATCAGTAGATGCCGCACGCCGTGAGCGCAGGAGGACAGTTGGCGGTCGGAAAGGTGACCTGGAGTTGGAGGAGAATGAAGTCTTCCAGCTCTGGATACTCAGGATTAAACACACACCCCTTTTGGCTTGTTCAGACATTTGGAGGATGCATTTCCTCCATCTCCTCCTCTGCTGTAATTGTGGCATTGAGTCGGCCCGGTTCATCATTCTGAACGCCAGGGCCAGTGTCCAGAGAGCCCCGTATGAACACGAGAAGATAAAAACCCTCAGAGGGTTTGCTAATTTTCTCTTAATCTGTCTCTGTCTCTCAAAGATCTGCTGTAAACTGAGCTCCTTCTGTCTCTTTCCCGTGCACCAAGATCTGCTGTATCCGCTGAACTCATTTTTTTCCTATGTATTTATCCTAAAAGTACTGATTGTAACATCTAGAAGCCATGGTATTCCTTGTAGAGCATTAGAAACTTACTAGTACATTCAACTTAAAATAGCTAAATAATAACATGCTAAATTAGACATCGACATATGCTAGTTTTGGCTTGGATAGTTGGTATCTGATGTCAGGAACATAAAAAAATTTTATGGGAGAAAAAAAAATTGGGCAAATTCTACCCATTACCTTGATTTTTTTTTTTTTTTTTCCCTTGAGAGTTGGAAAAAGACCACTGCTGTTCAATTTTGGTGGTTAAACACCTCCATCTAGTTCAAGAACCACTGCCTAGACGTGGAGTGCCGTCTGGTTAACTGTGGCCCCTGGTGGGTTGGAATGGTCTGTTTCCTTGGTGTCATTGTGCTGGGCAGTACCTCGCAGTGGACCCACCCCAGGGTGACCAAGGAAGCATGCAGGCGGGCAGCTTCTCTGGGGGATGTGAGCTACCTTAACATTTGAACCCCTTCCTTCCCCACAGGCCAGCGGCGGTTATGGGAGGCGGTGAAGAGGAGAAAGGCCATGTGCAAACGCAAGTCTTGGATGAGCAAGGTGCGTGGACGAGGTGCAAGATGGGGTGGGCAGCCTCGCATGCCTCCCTGTGATGTCAGTCCTGGGAAACTCCCCCATTCCCAGGCAGGTGTAATCTGTACCTGGTCCAGACCTCCCTCCTCCAGGGTCTTCCTGGGCAGGGTGCTTGTAGAACTGCCCGGCTAAGTGTCTCATCCCCACCAGAGATGGCACGTGAGTAGCCTGTGCACCGCGGTGGCTTCCCATCCCCTCCCGCTGTGCAGTCGTGCTGGGCGTGGAACAGGCGCTCGCTGACAGGTGCGCCGTAACCTGAGCCCTTGCTCTGACTGTTGGGGCCAGTGTCCAGGGCAGAGTGGTGGGGACTGTCTGGACCCGGGACATCTTTGCCTCGCTCCCCTCCTCCCCCACCCTCCCTAGTCTGCAGGGGTTTCTCTGGTCATCTGGCCCTGCTCACAGCTTCCTTCCCCACAGCCTGCCCCCCTTCTCCCTTTGCCCTAATTTAGGTCTGTGAGTGGTGAGTCCCTTTTCTGACTCAGTGGAACTTTGCCCATTGTCTGGAAGACAATGCGAGAGGAAGTGAACCAGCCAGGGCCTTCCCTCCCTGCTTCTGGCCTCAGGGCTGGGTGGGGGGTGAGGGGAGTGGGCAGGGCAGAACAGCTGGACCAGGATTGGGCAGCAGAGATTTCCTGGCTCTGGTCTGGCCAAGGGGCTGTCTCTTGGGAGCCTGTGGCCTTTTCTGGGGACACTGTCCTGGTCTCTTGCCCAGGTTTTAGGGAAGGCTGGGTTTATTGGGCGGATGAAGGCAGGAGGGAAGAGCTGTGCAGTGCGCCGGGATTCAGGGGTCGTGGACCCACCACATAGCAGGTCTTCAGGTCGGTCGGTGAACCTCTCTAGACCTGAGGGTCTTCAGCAAGAGTGCTGGTGGCACTTGTCCAGCTCACCTCACTGGGTGGTAGAGAAGGTCCCTTGAGATAAAAGCCGTGAAGGGCCTTGCTAGCAGAGCACTGCTTGCAAACATAAGGGAGTTTAGTTACTGGGAGGAAAGCAGTGGCTAGAAGAGGCCCTCAGAGTGGAGACACCCCCTACCCCATGCAGATAAGACCCTGCCAACCTTTGGGGGGCAGGGGCTCAAATGGACAGAGTCTGTGGCCTGAGGCCAAGGCTTTGGATGCCCCAGTGGTGGTGGCCAAGTCAGATCGACGGGGCCAACTCTGCTACTCAGGGCCTGACCTTTGGCCCCTTCCCTCCATAGCCCAGGCTGCAGAGTCCCCTCCAGCCTTCTTTTCTCAGCTCTCAGCACCCCTCCAGAAGCCCAGCTGTCTTCCCAGGCCCTTCCCCAGCAAGGCCTTGCTTCATCTGCGCTAGCCTCCCCCCCCGCCACATACACACATTCACGGTCCAACCTCAGGCTCAAATTATCCTCTCCCCCTGGCAGGATGAAGGGCAGTCAGCTCCCCAGGGAGGGTGGAGACAAACAGCGCCAAATGGGCAACCCAGAGAGGGGGCCAGGGCTAAAAATGGAAAGGGAGGTGTTTGTGGAGGGCCCCTCGGGCTCCTGCCCATCTGCTCGGGTTAGGGGCCGGAGACTGTGTTGGGTAGGGGGACAGGGAGGGACAAGTGGTGCAGTAGATGGGTCTGGAGTGGCTTTGGGCTCTCCCTGACCCCACAGCTGGGTGTGGGGCCACAGCAGTCACAAGCCACATGCCTGTCAGTCCATTTCTGGCACATACCCCGAGGCCACACTGAGACTGTGGATTCCCATTTGAGGGTGTGGTCTGGAGGAGGGGAGGGCCTCCAGCCAGGCTGCCCCTTGGCACTTTGGCAAAGCCAGGACCTCTGGAGGCCTAGCCGAGGATCCTGTGGGGCAGGACTGAGTGACCAGCTCCGGCGCCTGAGGCTTCCATCTGGCCCCTGGCTGCTTTCAAACAGGTGTTCAGTGGAAAACGATTGGAGGCTGAGTTCCCCCCTCATCACTCTCAGAGCACCTTCCGGAAGACCTCACCCACCCCAGGGGGCCCGGCAGGGGAGGGGCCCCTGCAGAGCCTCACCTGCCTCATTGGGGAGAAGGACCTGCACCTATTCGAGAAGCTAGGAGATGGCTCCTTTGGCGTGGTGCGCAGGGGCGAGTGGGACGCCCCCTCGGGGAAGACGGTGAGCTTCTGGGTCCTGTGGGGTGTGGTGGAGGGACAGGCCTCGAAGATGTGAATGGGGCTGGGCACAGGTCGAAAGGGGCGTGCTCCGGATTCCACGCTCAGCTTTAACTTGACATGTCTGTTTCTTTTTTTTTTCAATTATAAAAATTTACTTATCATAAAACTGGAAATTTTTTAAAAATAAGAAAACAATTGTTTGTAATCCCCCTGCTCAGAGGAAGCAGAGTTATTTCAGCTTAGTGAATTTTTACATATGCATGGGCCTATGTAACCACTGCCCCAGTCATGATAGAGAACAGTCCCAGCACCCCAGAAGGCTCCCTCTTGCCCCTTCCACTGAGTATCTCTTCCTCCAAGGGAAGCACTCTTTTGATTTCTCTCACCATAGGTTCGTTTTTTGGC